GGGTCTCGACTGGGGTGCCTGGCCAGTCTGGGTGAGGGGCTGAGGGCCATTTTCAGGCTGCTGGGTGACTGAAGCTCCCAACCTCTCCTTTTTTTTTTTTAATTCTGGGATTTATTTACCTCTATGGCTGTCACTGGAACTGAGAGCCGGCTTTAGCTCTGAGGCTCAGCTCCAGCTCTGAGACCTCGGCTGCTGAAAGCAGGTATCTTGGTTTGTTTGGCTTCTATAATTGAAACATTGTTGCCATCACTGCCACTCTAAGCTCTGAGGCCGAAGCTGGCTGAAAGCAGGTTTCTGGGGTTTATTTACCGTCTATAATTGCAACAATGTTTCTTAGACTGCAGCTCAGAGGCCGGCAGCAGCAGGCGGGGAACGTTGGCTTCCTCCATCACTGGAGCAAGCAAGCCTCCTGTTCTCTTCAGCTGCCTGGCTGCCGGCCGCCATCTTGGTTGGCAGTTAATTTGCATATCACCCAGATTAGCCGATGGGAAGGGTAGCGAAGTTACAGTTAATTACCATGTTTGTCTATTATTAAATAGGATGACCACTTCCTAACTCCTTCATTTCAATAAGTTATTACCAATATAACTGTGATATCCAGAAATTTGTATGTTTGGTATTTTACTCTTCTGTCTTTTTTAAATATTGCTTTTTTTTTCTCCCTGTTCTACTTTATTAGTGCATAATGCTGTCATTAACATGATTTTCAATGTATCTCTTCTGCAATCACCTGTTGAATAACAAGAAGATACTTTCTTGTCAAGAGTAATTCCTTGTTGTTCCTAAGTTCGTATCCATTATATCAGCAGTTTCCTCCGCATACCATCTGGGCTGAGCTAGCCTGTAGAAACCAACCATCATCTCAACCCTGTCACATCAATCAGATCTGTCGGAGCAATTTTAAAAGCTATGAGCTTCACTCTGTCATCGTTAAATGATCCCTTTTACCCACTGCTAAAAATATTACATGCCTTCTGACTTTGTTTAATTGTTCTCAGAGAGCAATTTTGTAGACTGTCATTGTCACTTAAAGTTTTTGAAGAGCCAGCTCTCAAGCAGAAACTGAAATGATGAAGCTCAAAAGATTAGTGTACCACCCCAAAGAAGGTAATACTAATATAGTCAAAGCCCCATAACGCTATTGGCTTCATATCCAGCTGTGAGAGTCAAACTCTAAGTTCCCCCAAGCTCTACCCTTTCTGAGAATCTTCTTCCAGGACAAATTATCAACTTCTTATAGGCTCAGTTACAGGAGCTTATAGACCCTGAGGTTAATTTCTGCCTAGATCACGCTCCATGGTTTTACTCAGTCTGAAATTTGGTGCCAAAGAATGCTTAATGAGCTCCAAAGAGGCAATCACCAGCACAGAAGTGAATTTAAATTTCACACTAATGCCAGCTAGTGCTTCTTGGGCAGAACAGCAGCCAACCAACCTACATTTTATAGCTATCTTTTCCTCATTTGCATTTGGATTTTCTTCTATACAACTAGCACCTCAATTTGTTTTTAACGCACATTGTTCTAAAGTACAGGTTTTAATGTTCTATACAGATATTTCGTTTTGATTTAGTCTGATGGTTTTCTGATTTTATATAAGGCACATTAATTCTCTGCCTCTTTTCTCCCTATTCCCCACTCCCAATTCCCTCCATTTTCACTACACAATAAAAAAGAAGACACAATTGGATAAATTATAATGTGGCATGGAACAACTTAATGTTTTCTGATAACAATAAAAGATACAAGAAGAATCATATAACATTTTTGTGTTATATTTTGCCACTGGTGATCATGATAGTTTCAGGACCAGTAATCAATTCCTAAGACCTTCCAAATGTCAAAAAGGGAATCCAAATGACAGATTAGAGGAAATGTACCAAGAGCACTGAAGCCTCACAGTCAGGCATGTCAGAGTCAGGTTGATGATAATGTTCACTGTGCTTAAACTGGGCGGTTTTCCTCATTTTCAAAAGAATTCTTGTGGCTTATAAATGGCTGGTACCATTGCCAAGGTGGTAACAATGCAAAAAACGATCTTTAAATTCTGACCTGGTACTATTGATTTCTCTCTAAGAAAATCAAATAATTAAGATTTTATACAGTGATTCCCTGAGGCCTAAGCTAAACTGGAAAACAGTATCATTTTACTACCAGTTTAGTTCTGTAGTACAAAGGGTCATATAGGAAATTAACCATTTGAATCATTTATTCATTTTTATTCATACACCCAATAAATATTTACTGAAAACCACTGTGTGCCAGTCATTATGGGAATCAGATGAGGTGTTAGCAACCTTAGAAATGGAGTCCATTAACAAGAGGTTGGCAATAGTAGGGATAGAGGACTAAACCAGAGGAAAAAGCATTCTCTAAAAAAGGGTACTTCAGGGATATCTAGTTTTCTGCTTGTAAAATTTCTAATACTGGTCCTCAGTAGGTTTGGGGATCAAGGAGTCCACAATCCTAGGAACTGCTCCACCTGGCAGTGTCTCCAGCAGACCCACCCTGATCTCACTAGTAGGTTTGGTTTGCTCTAAGCATAGCTGCATCTGTGGTGGCTGAGCTGGGCTGGGCACAGAGCTGAAGGAAGCAAGAATGAGTATGTGTCACTGGAAGTTAGCACAGGGCCTGGTTTCCTGCCAAAGGCTTTCAGCGACATGGGAACAGGTGGGAAGGCAGTAAACTCTTGTTCTAAGCCAAGATTTTAAGTTTTTACATGAAAAGTTTGAAAAGTGCATTTTACTGCATCTCACCATATGGCTACTCAACTGGCGCACTTTAAAATTTCATGATGCTATCCGGGTTCAATATCAATCATTTCTCCGAGACACATTCATTTGAGACTTTGAGCATTATTCCATCAGAGTTATAACTTCTTTAACATTAGCTTTCAACTAGCCTCAAGAAATAGAATATACCAGCTATTAGTTTTCCAGCGAGTGAGGCCCAGTTTAGTTACTTTGAAAATACTCTTCCCTTGAATAGACGAGCAGGAGGAGGAGAAGAGCTGGAGGAGAAGGAGAAGAAAAGAAAAATGGGAAGGAGGGAAAGGATGTCAAGGAGGAAATGGGGGAGGAGGAGGAGGAGGAGGAGGAGGAGGAGGAGGAGAAAGAGAAGAGAGGAGGAGGCTGAGGAGGAAATACTTCCTTAAAAACAAGTATTATAAATTACTCCTCCTTAAAACCAAGATTTTTTAGTTCATTGACAGCATATGTAAAGCAAATGATGATAAAAGAAAGCTTTGGAATCAAATATAATCCAGTGATAGAGGCTTTTGTTTGGAATTTGAGAATAAAGAGATGTAAGAACTTCCTCAAATTTGCTTTCAGTCCTATGACCTTTTGTAGCACTGCCCTAGCATTGCTCCCAGTCCTACTGAATATAAAATAATTAATTAATGTCAAGATACATTATAGAAAAATAAAGCACTCAAATGATAATAAATCTACATATATTGTTTGATATCAATCCCATGTTCTTTGTATCTTTAATTATATTTTTGTTAATTCTATTAGAAATTATATTACAAATCTTAATTCTATTTCCAACAACTTGACAGGGCATTAGTTGGTGAATAAACAATTTGTAAGGCACAGATGCCTAGAAGATGGAAATTTCTGTGACGTGAAAAAAGTCAATGACAGAACTTAGTCTAGGCTCTGAATATGAAATAAAATATGTCAATGTACATTTATTTTTCCTTATTGGATATTTTCAGTCCATTGAGTTTAAAACATAATTAATTTCCCCCCAAAATAAGCTTAAAATCAAAATCCCTTTTCATAGAGGTTTTGCCTTATTCAAATCATCCTATATAATAACAGGGTAATATGCAAATAGACTGAATGGCAGAAAAACCCAACAACTAATCAAAGCTTAATATGCTAATGATGTGCTAAGGCTGCTCAACCACTCACTATGACATACACTGACCACCAGGGGGCAGATGCTCCGACCAGTAGGTTAGCTTGCTGCTGGGGTCTAGCTGATCAGGACTGAGCACTGAGCGAGATGGGCCGGGCACCTCTGGAGCCTTCCCGCGACCCGCCCCGGCCCAATCGTGCACTGGTGGGGTCCCTCAGCCTGGACTGCACCCTCTCACTGAGATTGCGAAGATGTTAGTGATGAAACCTGTTAAGACACACTTGTAGGAAAAAATAAGACATGTGCATAAATAACCAAAATACAAGCAATATGAAAGTAGGTTTTGGTTAAATGCTATCAGTGTTCAGAGGAGAGATCATCTTCACCTGAGTTCAGGACAGCAGGAAATCTTTTCAGAAGGGCTGGCATTTAAGCAAGGCCACGGCAAACAGATAGGGACATCTAAGTGGAGGGGAAAAGATGGCCATCATATGGAGGTAGGGCACTATTCTAAACACTGGTGATATTACAGAGAACTTAAGCATAAAGCTTTGTTCTCACGGAGCTTATGTTCTGGGGAGAAAACGGGAAATAAATATAGAAAGTAGGTAAAGTATACAGTGTATTGGAAGGTGGTAAGTGCAATGGAGAAAAGTAAAACTGAGTAAGGAGGATGGGGAATGTGGTCCCATTTTAAATGAGGTAATCAGGATAGGCCACAGCACAAAGACGACATTTACATGAAGCGACGAAAAAACACGCCCAAAGATCACATCAAGAAAAACTGAAGCACAAGGGGAGTGTTGATTGATGAAGTTGTTGGCAGAAGAAGGAGAGATTGCAGAAGGCCTCAAATGCCAAGTTAGGGAGTTTGGATTTCATTTTGAAGACACTGGGGAGGTGTTAACAATTTTGGAAGAGCGATTTAAAAAGATCTGGTTGTACTTTATGTAGATGACTCTGGCAGACAGATTAAGTGGAAGGGACAAGAAGGAGGCAGGGAGATCTTCTACTACATCCTCTAAATTAGAATGTAGAAGGCCTACATTAAAAGTACAGAAATATTTGTCTTATATAAACTATTTCTTTTTATCTGTTCATTTAATATATGGAGAGGAACTTTTACATGTCAAATATGACTCTAGATTCACGAGATGACTTTAGTGAACAAAACAGGCAAATATCCCTACCTTTGTGGACTCTGCATTCTAGCAGGAGGAGTTAGACAATACACATAAGCATAATATAAACAATGAATATAAGTAAATACAATATAAATATGCAGTGTGGGAGAAAGCAATATATCTTCTGAAAGGATATAAGGATAGAGTAGGCTAAGGGGACCATTAGAGTACTGGGTGTGGGGCAAGAGGGCAACAGGGCAGGTGTAATCTTATTAGCCTTTACAATATTCTCTATTCCAAAAAAAGAGAATATTCACACTTCCAAAAACTGTTATAAAAATGTCTATGCTGACATAAGGCAGATATAATGTATATAATCATTTACTTTTAAAAATATATGTGTTTTTTTTTTGCCGAAACCGGTTTGGCTCAGTGGATAGAGCGTCGGCCTGAGGACTGAGGGGTCCCGGGTTCGATTCCGGTCAAGGGCATGTACCTGGGCTGCGGGCACATCCCCAGTGGGGGATGTGCAGGAGGCGGCTGATCGATGTTTCTCTCCCATCAATGTTTCTGGCTCTCTATCTCTCTCCCTTCCTCTCTGTAAAAAATCAATAAAATATATTTTAAAAAAAATAAAAATAAAAATATATGTTTTTACTGATTTCAGAGATAGGAAGGGAAAGGGAAAACGAGATAGAAACATCAATGATGAAAGAGAATCAATGATGAAAGAGAATCATTGATTGGCTGCCTCCTGCATGCCCTCCACTGGGGATCAAGCCTCACCAGGGCATATGTCCTGACCAGGAATTGAACAGTGACCTCATGGTTCATAGACTGACACACAACCACTGAGCCACACTGCCCGGGCAAAAGAATTGTTTATACTTTAAAACACATCAATATGGGCCCGGGAGCCAAGCGAGGGCGTTCCTGTCTGGGCTGCAGCGGCAGGAGGGAGCCCAGTGGAGGCGCCCTCCCGAGGCACTGCCCATGCTGACTACACAGTCCTGATGTCTTGAGTAACACCACAGTGCCCAATGCCCCCCAGGCCAACAGCGACTCTATGGTGGGCTATGTGTTGGGCCCTTTCTTCCTCATCACCCTGATCGGGGTGGTGGTGGCTGTGGTAATGTATGTCCAGAAGAAAAAGCGGGGGGACAGGTTTCACCATCACCTGCTCCCCATGTACAGCTATGACCCCACTGAGGAGCTGCATGAGGCTGAGCAGGAGCTACTCTCTGACGTGGGAGACCCAAAGGTGGTGCACGGCTGGCAGAGTGGCTACCAGCACAAGTGGATGCCCTTGCTGGACCTGACACTCTCACCTTCAGAACCATGGGGTCCTGCCGCCTGCTGCTTCCCCTCCCACCTGCCCACCGAGCCCCCTGCTGGGCACCGGGTCTCCACTCCTCCTACCCATCCCCCTCCATCTGTAGGCCTTTGTGGGCTGAGCCTGCTCCCAGGCACTGGGGGTTTTTTCTCTTGGGGTGGGCAGAGCTTTGCCCTGTGGGCCCCTTTAGCCCTCCCTGACTTGGCTTGGGAGCTTCCCATGGTGACAGGGCCTGATGTATAGTCTTCAGTATACATATTTTGTAAATAAAATGTTTTGTGGTTAAAAAAAACACAACACATCAATATGTGCAATGGCCAAAGAAACATAAAGGTATCTCTAAATCTCATGTCTTGATCTACATGAATAATGATGTATATTACCCACAAGTTACACCAGGAGAAACTTTAAAAGTAATGTTACCTTTGTCTTTCCAGACAGAACCCAGACAAATATATCCCACAGGAGACCACTTTGGACTTTAAATGATAAAGGAAAGAATGTCCTTCTAGAGGCCTTGGTTCCTATTAGAAATAAAACAGTGACTTGTTTCCTGATATATAACAGTTAAGTACAAAGCTTTGTAAAAAGTTTGAGAAAATTAATGCTCACATCAAATTCAATTTCAAGATATCGTTTAGTTCTAGTGACACATTATTTTCCCAAAAGCACTGGTTACAAGTTTTGTCAATGATATTTTCTAGCAACATATTTGTGGGTCAGATCGATATACTTACTATAATGATAATTTTAAATAATTCTAAAATTAGACCTGGAAACTCTTAGAATTGTACTGTTTGAATAAGTCTTTTGATTCCTACCCAACAGAAGGATGGTGAAAGTCCAGCAAGCCTCACAGTAAATGATATATTTGGCACTCTTAAGTTTCCAAATTACTCATTTAGCAACTATAACTCTATGCCTACTCACTACAATGATGTATAATGGGTACTACTAAATTGTGTTATCATAATGAGTTTGCCTATGTAGGAATAGATTACAAGACACAAAGTAATATTTTCTAGTAACAAAAAAATAATAATGTATTCTTTAATAAATGTAAATTCATGTGAGAACAACCTCTTAGAGATAACATTATAAATACTGGGAAAATGACAGTAAAAGATCTTCTGAAGGCACTAGGAACCAACCACAAGTAGGCAGAAACTGGAAAAAAAGAATGGTACTAATGCGTTTCCTAGGATTCTTACTGCTTTTGCCTCAAGGAAGAACACACAGGAGAGTGTAGAGTGACTAGAAGTCAGATAGCTTAAGTGACTTGAAAAATCAGAGGTCAATTTAGGGAGTACTAGTTCCTGAGAAATTAAAGAGGACATTCTGTGCCATTACCCTTTAACCCTTCTCAACCTTCTCAACCTTCCTCATGCCGTGACCCTTTAATACAGTTCCTCATGTTGTGGTGACCCCCAACCATAAAATTATTTTCGTTGCTACTTCATAACTGTAATTTTGCTACTGTTATGAATCGTAATATAAATATCTGATATGCAGGATGTATTTTCATTGTTACAAAATGAACATAATTAAAGCATAGTGATTAATCACAAAAACAATATGTAATTATATATGTGTTTTCCGAGGATCTTAGGCAACCCCTGTGAAAGGGTTGTTCGACCCCCAAAGGGGTCGCGACCCACAGGTTGAGAACCGCTGCTTTAACCAAAGATCAAGGAAAACACCTGGTGACCAAAAATGGATTTATTGAATGAGAAATGAGAACACACACCATGAGGAACAATGGGTTATCATCTCACCTATTCTAGAATTTGGGCTTGTACTATGTTCTTTAGGGGACGGTTCAAGAAGCTGGGTTTTGCTCTAGATTTGATGGTATTAGGAAGAAGTAAAGGTTTGGCCATCTTAATGTTTCTTAAGATTGCTAATGAAGCAGTAGTCATATTAGCGGGGAGGGGGGAGCGGGTTTAGTCACTTTTATGGATTGGACACATTTTTATGGATTGGACAATGTTCTTGTTTTTGTCTGATTTTGGATATGATTATTAGAGTGATCTTATTTTTGTCTTGATTCATCATGGCCACAGACTAGCACTAGCTGATATTTGTATTCTGAGATTTTCTTTTTATCTTAAGCAATAGAATTCTACAGCCTATTGTGAGTGTCTAGCTAACTCCTGGCCACAGAAAATCGACCTGTTACTTCTAGGCCAGTTGTTAGTTGTCAAGGTCTTCTTTCCTCTTTCTCATCTGAAAAGGAAACAGTCACAGAAGAAAGCTTCAAATTCTGCTCAAATATCTGGCTTATTCATGAACTACATGTATATAAGCAGAGTCCAAGCAGCCTGTTTAAAGCTAAAAAGAATAAACATTTCAGCAGCTATTTACATAACACAAGAGTGAGAACAAGTCTGGTTTTGAACATATAATGCAGTTTGGAACTTCAGCATGATTAAGAACCCACTAAAACAAAAATAAACACTTTTCAGAAGAACATAGCAGAAAACAGAGTAATATTCAGTATACAATTAGAGATATGAAGAAACAAGAAAATGTCACCCAAAGTCAAGAATAAAAGGAATCAATGAACATCACCACAAGATGGCCCATGTGATGGAATTAGCTGATAATTATTTTAAAGTGCCCATTATAATTATGTATGAGGACATAAAGTAAAATAATAACAAGGTACAGATAGGAAATCTCAGCAGAGGAATAAAAACTAAAAATTTTTAAAAATTAAAAATTTAATATCTGAAAGAAAAAATTCACTAGCTGGGCTTAAGAGCAGATTAGAGAAAACAGACCAAAGAATCAGTATCAGTAAAACTGGTAGAAATGATCCAGTTTGAGGTTACAAGATTAAAAAAATTAAATGAAAGAAACAGAACCCTGTAATTTGTGGTGCAACATTAAAAAGTGTAACATAAGTATCCTTAGTTATAGGTGGGGGAAAAAGAGCGGGAGCAAAAATATTGTAAATATTAAAATAATGGATAAAGTTTCTCAAATTTATAAGAATCATAAATTTACAGATTTAAGCAGTTGAGAAAACATCAAGAATTTTTAAAATTCAAATCATACTCAAATAGTTGAACCTCCTAAAATAAGAGAAACAATTTAAACAGTCAGATAAAATGACACATCCTACCTAATAATAGAGAAACATGGTAATTAACCGTAACTATGCTACCCTTCCCATTGGCTAATCAGCCAGAGATGCAAATTAACTGCCAACCAAGATGGCGGCCGGCAGCCACGCAGCTGAAGCGAACATGAGGCTTGCTTGCTACAGTGACGGAGGAAGCCAAGGTTCCCCGCTTGCCGCAGCCCAGGTCTGAGCTCCAGATGTAACAATGTTGCAAATATAGAAGCTAAACAAACCCAGAAACCTGCTTTCAGATGCTAGCAGGCTCAGAGCTTAGAGCGCCAGTGATGGCAACAGAGTTTCAATTATAGAAGCTAAACAAACCCAGGTACCTGCTTTCAGCCAGCCACATCCTCAGAGCTGGAGCCGGTTCTCAGCTCAAGTGACAGCCATAGAAGGTAAATAAATCCCAGACTAAAAAAAAAGAAAAAAAAAAGAGGCTGGGAGCTTCAGTTGCCCGGCAGCCTGAAAATGGCCCTCAGCCCTTCACCCAGACTGGACAGGCACCCCAGTGGGGACCCCCACCCTGAAGGGGGTGTGACCAGCTGCAAACAGCCATCATCCCCTCATCCAGGCTGGCCAGGCACCCAAGCGGGACCCCCACCCTGACCCGGGACACCCTTCAGGGCAAACCAGCCGGCCCCCACCCGTGCACCAGGCCTCTATCCTATATAGTAAAAGGGTAATATGAAAACTGACCCTAACAGCAGAAGAACTGGGAATGAATGGTCACTATGACACACACTGACCACCAGGGGGCAGACGCTCAATGCAGGAGCTGCCCCCTGGTGGTCAGGGCGCTCTCACATGGGAGGAGCTCTGTTCAGCCACAAGCCAGGCTGATGGCTGCCAGTACAGCGGTGGTGGTGGAAGCCTCTCCTGCCTCCTCAGCAGCGCTAAGGATGTCCGGCTGCAGTTTAGGCCTGCTCCTGCTGGCAAGTGGACATCCCCCGAGGGCTGCCGGGCTGCCAGAGGGATGTCTGATTGCCATCTTAGGCCCCATCCCCCGGGGAGCGGGCTTAAGCCAGCAGGTAGGCATCCCCTGAGGGGTCCCAGACTGTGAGAGGGCACAGGCTGGGCTGAGGGATTTCCAACCCTCCCCCTCCCCCCGAGTTCATAAATTTTTGTGCACCGGGCCTCTAGTCTTATATAATAAAAGCCTAATATGCTAAGTGTCTGGTCGTCTGGTTGTCCATTCAACCAATCAAAATGTAATAGGCTAATGATATGCTAAGGCCGCTCAACTGCTCGCTGTGACATGCACTGACCACCAGGGGCAGACAGTAGACCAGTCGCTATGACGTGCACTGACCACCAGGGGGGCAGACTCTCCAACCGGTAGGTTAGCTTGCTGCTGGGGTCTAGCCGATCGGGACTGAGGACAGGTCAGACACACCTTGGAGACCTTCCAACGGTCCTTCCTTGGCTGGCCAACCTCCCATGTCCCTCCCTGGCCCTGATTATGTACCAGTGGGGTCTCGGCCTAGCCTGTGCCCTCTCGCAATCCGGGACCTTTCAGGGGATGTCAGAGAGCTGGTTTTGGCCCGATCCCACAGGCTAGGCCAGGGGACCCCACAGGTACACAAATTCATGCACTGGGCCTCTAGTTATTACATAATAAAATGTGGTTACAAATGACAGCTAAGTTGTCCTTAGAAAAAATGGAGTCTAAAAATGAAAGGAAAAACAAAACGGTCCAATGAGAATTTTATATCTAATAAAAATATCCTTTAAGACTGAAGATGAAATAAAGATGTTTCAGATAAAAATTAAGTGAAACCATCACTGTAGTGTGCAGATCCATACCACAAGAAATAGTAAAAAAAGTTCCTCAGCCAAAGATAACTGATGGAAATTTGGGTATTAGGAAAAGATGAAAATGGTGAATAGAGGTAAATATAAAAATAAAAGAAAACTGAAAGTTAATAAAATAGTTGGTGATAATTAAGTCAAAGGAAACAAATTATATTTCCAATGTCCACTGTGAAGGTCATGGACTTGCCAAACATTTTTATATTAAGTTAAAATCATTTGAGTAGTGCCTGTTGAACTACTCTGAATCCTTAGATGCTCAAAACTGTGTCAAGTTTAGCAGCAAACACTAATTTTAAGGGAACTGCTTGGTAATGCTAACAAGATAAATATTGTTAGATATTCCTGACACAAATAGTGAGACCACTTGGGCAATCAATATAAAAAGCATCTCTTGTGAAATTAATTGGAAAATTAGATTTCATGTTTAAATATGAATTCTAAGTGATTCACTAAAACAGATTAAAATAGTTTTCAAACTAACCATGGCCCATGTCAGCTTCCTTCACTACATGCATCTTCTTTTTTAAACAAATTTAAACAAACCAAAGAATGAAGGCAAATATCCTAACATTTCAGATCAGCTTGCATTAAGTGAGGGCGTTCATTTCTATTGGAGTTACCAAGTTATTTGCTTTAATGCCCCTCATTGCTCTAACATGCCTTTATGCACCTTGACAAATGGTCTCTATTATGAAAGATGTATTATAAGGATCAGGATTTGCTTTTACATGTACTGAAATTCAACCTTTGCAGGCCACGGTAATATCATTTGTACTATGTTTGACACCTTATTACTTAAGTTAGCAGAGCATTTGAAGACTGGATGTTTAATAATGCACTTTTATAAAAGGATAAGAATTTATCATAGTGGGGGTGATACTAAATGATTCTGAGCTTAAGAATACCTTTCTGCCCCTGCCGAGTAGCTCAGTTGGTTGGAGCATCACCAAGTACACTAAAAAGGCTGTGGGCTTTATTCCCAAGTTGGGGCACATACCTAGGTTGC